AAATATGTTTACACATTTAAAATATATTTTCAAAAATATACAAACAAATGGCCAAAAATATATTTGCTAAAAGATGTTTCAAAGTATATTTATGTAAATATATTTTCTACCAATATATTTTTGTCAATATATTTTTTTAAATGTATAAATATATTTTTTGAAAAACATACAAAAATGTATTTTGACGTCTATATATTTCAGTCCAAGAAAATGCATTCATATATTTGATTAGATTAATCATTATTAATCTACTTTTGATCTCTAGTAGGCCATCAACATTTGTATTTAGCTTAAATATAAGCTACTGAAATTTATTTTCTTGCCATTTAGAAATATATTTTGGTATATGAAGGTTGAAAATAAATATATTTTCTGCATCAAAAATATATTTCATTGAGCTTCACTGTTTGCAACATATATTTAGCATATACTTCAAATACATTTTGTCCACAAAACAATATATATTTTTGCCATATGGGTAAAGAAACACTATATCAAATAAAAAATGCAGTTTGCGATCCTTTCAATGAGTGATTCACTCTTTTACTGTTTAGAATCTTAAAAACACCTCAAGCCCAACATTTAAAGACATAACCCTGTGATTAATGGTTTGTCATTAGAGCATTGCTCATAATTAATGCTGATGTTGTAATGTTTCAGTATATTTCTGAGACCGAGGAGTCAGCGAGAGCTGCCAGAGGAGAGGAAAGACTGAACCTGTTCTCTCTGGATCCTGATATTCCTGTACGTCTCACCGCCAGCCGTGTGTGATTTACAGCGGCTGGGAATCGACTGCATTGTTTGGGGGTTTTGCAAAGGAAATTTCATTGTGGCTGTTATTTTGGTATGTGAGGAAAGGATGCTTTGCGTTGAAGGTTTTGAGGAGCCCCAGGATGGAGTTTGGAGACTCTGCTTCTGTCCAGCCGTTCGAGGAGAAACTCGGGAAGAGACTGATGATCTCCTGCGGCTCGCTCAATCTCTCACTGCAGGGCTGCGTCAACGAGACCGATGCTGAGCCAGTGACTAATGTACGGTCTCACGTCCTTTATCACAACAGAAAATTCACTGGCAGAGGATAGAATAGCTGAATAGCACATACACATAAAATAAGAGTGACAAATAAGCTTTATCATTCAAAAGAAGCTGTATCATTAAAACTGCATTTGTTTTTAATATTTAAGACACTACAAAAATAATTTTCGTAATTGGTATTTTTTTTTATTTTGCATTGTGGTTTTTTTTTTTTTCAATTTCAAATATCTAAACATTCTTAAATCATGATGCATTTACTTAAGAAGCAAAAGATATTAAAGGGTTAGTTCACCCAAAAATGAAAAATAGGCTGCGTTTTACTCACCCCCGAGGCATCCTAGGTGTATATGACTTTCTTCTTTCAGACGAATCCAGTCGGAGTTATATTAAAAATTGTCTTTGATCTTTCAAGCTGTTTAATGCCACTCAGCGGGTGAGCCGACCTCATACGTCATCCGCCCGGAACTGCTTCCGTGTGCAACAGTGAGCGCAAGCTACATTAAAGTGATTATTACGTTTTGAATATGGATATTTTTCTTACAAAAACGCATCGATTCGCTACAGGAGGCCTTTGTTCACCCCCCGGAGCCGTGTGAGATGCTTTTTTATGGATGGACGCTTTTTATTTAACTTCTTTTGGACTGAAGCAATGCAATGAGCATTGAAGCATGAGTGCCATTAAACAGCTTGACAGATCAAAGACAATTTTTAATATACCTCCGACTGGATTCGTCTGAAAGAAGAAAGTCATACACCTAGGATGCCTCGGGGGTGAGTAAAACGCAGCCTAATTTTAATTTTTGGGTGAACTAACCCTTTAAGACTTGCTTTCTGAAAAATATATACTGTTAGTGAGTTTATGCTTAAGCAAGAAAAAAACTGTCCATGGGGTAAGAAAAAGAAAAGATTTTTTATTTTTCTTTCCACATGTACAGATGTTTTTTTTCTTGTTTAAGTATAAGCTTAATTTTAATAAACAAGAATTAATATCTTAAGTCATTTTGCTTTCTTATGTAAATGTATCATGATTTAAGAATTGTAACGGAAAAGACAAAAACAAAATAAGACAAAAATAGTAAGAAAATAATTTTTGCAGTGTACTGCTCTGATTTAAATTATATATACACTATATATATGTGACCCTGCAGCACAAAATCAGTCTTAAGTCGCTGGGGTATAGACCATAAGTCAATGGAAAGCTTATTTATCCAGCTTTCAGATTATGTATAAATCTCAATTTCAAAAAATGGACCC